TCATCCATGGTTTTTTGGCTCAGGGAAATAATAATAAATAATAATAATAAATAGTCCCTTCTATGGAAAATAAATCCCCTACCCTAGCCTCTAGGTAGGGTAGATTTGTTTGATATTAATATTCTATTCGATTAATATTGACTTCAATAAGAGCGATTTATTATTGATTTATTGGTTGGTTGGTTAGGTATACTACAGTACTGTTGTTGTGCCTGAGGCCGTTATGTGATTTATGCATATTCATAACATGGATGATGTCCTGTACTCCGTACATAAGTATGTACAGTACATACATAAATCCAGGATCCGATCCTCGTTTCATCTCATCTGTTTTGTTTCATCTACTCCGTAACTGGTTTGACGGGTTGCAGCCTTGTAGGAGGGTAAAAAATAATGAGGTTACAGTATCCCCGAAGCCCTTCGGCGATACGAACTGTACGGAGTACAGGCCAGGCACGGAGGTATATACCTATGGACCTGGTCAAGACCCGGTCCACCCGGTCCAGAGAGTCCAGAGTCCAGACAGATCCAGACAGATCCAGGTCCAGCCGATATGTTACGTCGATACAGATTCATTGTTATTTTTCCCCCATGTTGCTGTAGACATAACACGCGTAAAAAAGATCAACAAAAAACAAACGAAATCAGGAAAATAACGACTAACCACATCAATCTCATTCGTCTGTATTGTCATGTCTATCGTTCGTAACATTCAGGTCGTCACTCTGGTCTGCAATGCAAGGCAAACGCCATCGAAAGACTGTAAAACGTCGAAATCATACGAAATAGAAGGAATGCACAAACAGTACTAAGTTCTTGGTGGAACAGCAGGTCTGCCTCAGATATCGACAGATATCGACATGTCTTCTCTGAATATCCTCAATCTGACACAGTCGCTACCACTGCAGTGGTGGTCTCTCCATCCGAGGCACCCGCGGCGCAGGTGGTAGGGGAGGCTCCGGGATTTCGGGAAGCGGGATGAGATTCTCTCGCTCTCGATTGATTTCGCAAATGCGTTCGCGACGCGCGCGGCGGATCTTCTCAGAGAGTTCGACAAGCTCGGCAATGTCGTCCTGCGGATGAGTGTTATTAGATGGTGAGCTCAGATGACAGATTCGACGTCATGACGAGACACTCAACGAGACACTCACATAGCGGAGATAGTCAAAGACATAGTAGAAATACTCCGTCTCGTCATATTCATAGCCCAACCGCTCGATCGCCTCCCTCACCACCAGATCTTTCGTGATCTCCGTCCAGAGTCGCTCGCGCTTCTCCTTGGGGCCGGTATATCGCCGTCCGATGCGACCATTCTGACTCTCCTTGTCGGGAACAAACTCCTCACCTTCAGCGATGAATTTGGTTCTGCGAACGCCATTATATCGCTCCCAGGTGATTTCCTGACTGCCACCCCCCACTCCTTCCAACGTAATCCTTTTAGTTCCGGGGGGAACGTCGATCACAGTCCAATCCTTGGTAGCCCCGTTGTACGCTTCTCCGATCGTTCCATGCCCCGAATCCCGACGAGCATAGGCTTCTGCTTCCTCTTGGATGTCCCGCACATCGCGCTCATCCAACGTGCTTTGGTAGTCGCGTTCCTTCTCCCGGTCTTTAGGGCGCAATACCGTGCGCGAGACGATAACCTTGTCGGCCTCGGGAGAGTGCCGTCGACGTAGAGGCGGCAAAGACCCGTCTCTCTCTCTTTCTCGACGATCAATCACGAGATCAGTCTCGTAGTACCGGCCGTTTCGTTCCCCGCTATAAACCACTGTGAGCTTCCGAGTAAGGAGAAGTTCAACGTCGGCTTACCGCTGGCGTATCTCAACTTCATCGAAGCTGTTCCTCCGCACGCGAGGTCGTAGAACGATTTCAAATCCTTTTCAAGTCAGCTGCTCGTAATAGACTTCTCAGCGATATACTGACCATGATCGATGTGCCTGTGATGCGTGATGATGTCCTGGTGAATTGGTGGCGCGACAATGACCGGACGCTCTGGAGACGAAGCTGACTCGGGCGACGTCGACCTGTCTTCTCGCCTTCGGAAGGCAACCTCGTTTCGTTCGACGCCTCTCCCACGTCGCCCTTCACGCTCCTCTCTTCTGATAATGATGTCATCTCTCTCGTCTATGCGGTATCGGGACCGTGAGCTCCCGCGAGGGCTGGAATGACGGCGAAATTCGTTTCTCTCCCATTCACGCTCGCGAGAACGGTCTCTGCTACGATGGCGAAAGGCCACCTCGTCTCGTTCATCATCCCAGCTGGACGTAGACCGATCGCGTCGGCGTACAAGCGCTCTATCCCGCTCCGTATCACGTTCATCCCAGGCGACTTTCTCCTGCCAAGGAGGCAATGATCGCTCGCGTTTGTTGGACGAAGTTTCATCTCGCTGAGTCGATTGTCTGCCTCTGTTCTCACCTCTGTTGAGGCTCTCTTCCCTATCGGTCTTTTTTCGGGACCGTTTCTCTCGAGTCGACGTCTCACGACGGTTGGCAGCTTCCTCGCTCTCCTTTTCGACTCCCTTGGGTTTCTCCCGCGACCGTAACTCAACGTCCTCCCGCTCACGTGTCTTCACTACCATGGCGCCGTCGTCCCTGGCTGGCTGCCGGAAGAAATCTGGCACTGACCGGTCTCGCACACGGACGCGTTCGTCGACTTCCGAACCAGGGTCGCGGGAGGACGACGGCGATAGTCTCTGTCGTCTTCGAAGTAGCCCTCGTGTCTGCCGCCTTTGTGATATCGATCACGTTCGTAAAAATCCTCCTCGTAACCACCGCTAGGACGGCCGCGGCGAGACATGCTAGCTTAAACGAGGAGGAATAGGAGGGGAAAAATTCCACTTGGGTTGAAGGAAACAAAAAGAATCCCACAATCGCTGCGGGGACTTGATCAGGACCACTGCCAGCGCAGGGAACAGCTGTCGACCACATGTAATGGACTGACGTAGTGCTGCAGCGTGCAGAAAAGCTGGCGCTAAGCCCGAACGAATCAACATTGGGCTGCAAACTCGAGTTGGACAAGAACAATAAACAACAAAAGAGGATTCCAAGTAAATTACTGAGTAAAGAGGACTAATAATCAACAATAACAAAACCACAGAGCCACAGTCCTTGGGCTGATCAGGCTGAGAGGGGCAGTCAGGACTCAGTGCTGATAGCTGATGTTATCTCTCAATGTCTCGATCTCCACTGCCTAGCGCTGTCTCCCCCGCAGTTAGCCCTCGACACGGCGCACGCAGACAACGCCTACGATTTCCCTCTTGACAACAATTTATGGATTCACTTGCCAGGCTCACCACGCCATGGACTTGTGGCTGTGATCTAACCGCATGATACGAAGCGACGTGCTTGGTAGTTTCGATATGTAAATACCTGTCGCAGTTTTGTCCAGCCCAGCATTCCAAGCAAGTAGATGTAACTGAGCTTCTTTAGTTTACAGAAGGTGGTTGCAATCTCTGCCCAATTATGACCCCTGCTATACCAGCATCCCCAGCCTCTGTAGCGGCTTCTGCTGACCTTTCGTTTGGTCCTCTTGGACTACATAACCTCTTGCTTTCGCTGCAGCCTCGTCACTGATCTGCTTCCCTGAAGGTGTATCTTACGTACCTGCCACTTTGTCACCAAGCTGAATGCTACTACAGGGGTACCTTACAATAGGCGTGTAGACCTAGATCGCCGTTCTGTTATCTCAATATGTGGTTCGGTTATGATGCGTGGGGCTAGAGGATAGTTTCTGTCGTAGCTAATAATAACGGGGCCTTTTTGATTTGTTTCCTGATCGATAGCTATCGAAAGACCCTTTTCAATGACAAGCAGAAGACGGAGAGCAGCTTTGGCGTCATGTGGTACCTTCCCAGGGTCTTCTGACCCAAGCCACTGTCAACCACGGAGTATGCGTTGCCGTTTTTGCTGTATAGATATTCGTGACACTGTTGGCATATTGGTTACCACGAACGCAGAGTCTGCGGCCCTCACAATAGGCACTCAGGGGACCAGAGTAGCGAGAGCAGTGACTCGCGTGACGCTCAAACTCCAGTAAGACGAAGCTCTCGTCGTCATTCGGGTCACGTACAGTAAGAACAGGCATGTCTTCGCTGGACTGGTAAAAAAGCCCGCATGAGGTGTCTTAGGCGCGATTTTTTCGTATCAGAGCGTTTCCTTAGTTAATGGTGCTAACGCTATCGCCCAGTCTATGAAGTTTCTGTGACAGAGTTTTAGAATCCATCTCCTTATCGAGCGATGAATCTCAGCGGAGTCCTCGGGGTCGTCAGAGTCTCGCTGCGTTACTGCGATCCCTGGGACTCAAGTTTAGTTCATGAACTTCATAGTAATGAAAGCAACAGACAGAAAAGCAATCATAATCCAAAAAGATCCTACCTATCCTAGGACAGAACCATGATGCTATAGAAGATAGAGATCTTTTTTCTCCTGAACTCTCATCTCTCCCGCATTTGACATGGAAACGGCCCTACCAACCTTGTAGTAGAATATCGGTCAACCCGTCCAGCAGATCGATGACGACATCACGAATATACAACACATCACACAGTCATTGGTCTATCGGCCTTTCTGATCGCCCCAATGTTGCAATATGACTTGCTGAATTAGTCGTTCTCCACTATCTTCGAGTGCTGAGGAGTTTTTTTTTTTTTTCGTTTGTCCGTCTGGCTGTTTAGCGAGCTTGGAGAGACGGGTGAAGATCTTTACACATCCAAGAATCCTTGAGGATATGGAGTCCATCTGCTTGGGGTGTTTTCTGACAATGACAGCGTTAAGAATTGTATCGATCTGCGCAGCTGCATTCAGCTCTTGAGCGGGGTATTAATAGAGCACACCCATTCGAATCATCTTCGACTTAATATAGGTTAGTCTGACTTTCGTGACACAGGTACTACTCACCTACAAGAATGTTTACTAGTGTTGGCAAATACTGACGCCAGCTAGATGCTGGTCTGCTGCATCCTCCTAGCCCCCGGCAGCTCTGGGATACGTCGTGGTTTGGACTTGATACCATTGCGCTTTCTCTCATTTGAGCGCAATGTCGCCCCGATGCGTTGCCCATTGTTGAGGATTTAGGACCTGACATTTCCCTGTGTTGTCCGTTTGGGAGAAACGGCTGACTGAGTGTCTTTATCTTTACCACAGGTACCTTCTTCCTGAACAATGGAGAGTGGCATAAGCGAAGCCCGCTTGGTCCTGGACTCGATGCAGTTTCTCATCGTAGTCACGGGTGATTATCTGAAGGCAGCAGGCGCTCTGAAGAGTAGAGGAAAGACCAGGCTACGAATCAATAATCTCCTGGTCAAACTCAAGACGGAATGCGCGAAACATTGGGTACCTTACCGATTTGGCAGCAGCAAACGCCATCGTCCAACGTGCATTCGACGAAAGAGTCTCAGCCCGAGACTGGCCATTCCATGAAGAAGGCCCCTTCTGTCTTGAAGCAGTAAGGACCTGCTTGTGCTGTAACTTGGATGGAAAGGCTTCACTGGACAAGGAAATCTTTTGCCAGACGGTGTGTGAGAAAGAGAAAATTATTTGTCCTCTTCAATTCGCTCTGGACGATTGTCGGTACTTCTCTTCAGGTGGGCTTGATTCTTCAGAATCAGTCCATCACTCTCATCTGTAGAAACTGAGAGAAAACCAATTCACCCTCTTTGATGACAAAGATGCTAGACTAGAAGCGTATAATGATAGCCCAACCTTGGAAGACCGGCAAGGTTACAGCTTCGCGAGCCTTCACAGAAACGTTCCTTCTTTTGCTTCCTGAGCGGCCGGCCGAAGAGGGAAGGCGCGTCGGGGTTGCCCTTCTTGACACGGGACTTCATCTGCCGGCAACTCGACTGCATCAAGGACAGGAGTTTGTTAATTAATTAGTTAAAAAAAATGCTGACAGCTGGCAGGAATCGAGATTCAGCTGCACTGCACTGTATGCTTCCTTTGGGCTGCACTTGACACTAGCGAAGCGTCGGTACGGCCCAATCATGCGAATTATGACTGCCTGCATGGAATATTTATTGATTAGTAGATTTGACTTTTCTCAAGCGTCTTCTATTTCTAGAAACACGGAGCTGTTAGTAATTACAAGTCTTGCTTCACTCTACTGGTGTGCTCTAATTTAGGCAGCTGGGTTTGTTTAAAATATATATCATACAAGTCTTCAATCCCTCGCTTCGCTCGGGTGGCTTGATGAGGGAACCAATTCTAAAATCAGTTTAACTAAATAAATAGAAGGAATAAGGAGTTGCCCAGGTGGATGTCAAGCAATCAAGACCCAGGTGCTCCTGCAGTCACAAAGGACTTCGAGATGCAGTAGTGAATCCTTATCTCAAAGCAGTTGTGGAAGAACACGATAGGTATCGCTTTCTGTTATTCACAGGATCAAATTCATAGGTATTATATTTACATATTCAAGTCGTAATTTACTAAAAGATACTCTCGATGGTCAACCTTCTGGCCTGCCTTCTATACGGAGTATATACTAAGCAAAATAAGACAAATCCACTAACGCCTTTCCCCCTGTCGTTTCGTCGTAACAATCAGCTATCTATCAAAAAGTAAGTCGTGTCTGTCCCTTCTCTGGTTTTCCAGTGCCACCCCGGCCTGTTGTTCTAGGTTTCGGCTTTGTTTTCCTGGCGTCTTTAGAAGTCTGCCCCGTGCCTCGTTGTATCGTCTGAGACCTGGCTGCTTCCATTTCTTGGCGCTCTAGATCTTTGGCAAAATGCCAGTCGTCGTGTTCACTTCTTTCGAATTCAGGAAGAGATTTATTGCACCGGGGGCAGATGTAGGAAGCCGCTAAATCTTCCGGGAGCCGATTTTCCCAGCGCTCACTGTCATCATGTCCTTCTGTGTTCAGATCTTGATCTGGCGTCTCTTGGGCATTCGCATCCGAGTCCTTGAAGCTTGCCTGATGCTCGAGCTTTTTCAGGTCCGAATCATCACCAACTCTGTTATCTTTCTTGAAGAAGCGCTGGATGCCAGTATCTTCCACTTTTCTCCTCTTCTCTGCTCTTCCTTGTTCGTCGGACGTATCGCGCCCCGTTCCTAGCGTTCCCATAGAGATGGCTTCTTGACCCCGGACAAGGAATCCATCAATGGCTCTGTTGTTGGCAACACCGTCCTCGAAGCCGCCTACACTGAGCGACAGATTCGCACATGGCCAAATTTGTCCATCTGCAACGACTTGGCCCAGTAAAGTTTTCCCCAGTTCGAAGAGCAGGGCCTCATCGATCGTTTTCCCGCCAGGAATCGGGATCTGCCGTGATCGCACTTGTGCACCTTGTCGATGGTGCAGAGTAATGGTCCTTGGTCGGCGTCGGTTCTCGAGTATACCATCCTCAACCAGTCGACCGTAGAGATCAGCTGCAAAGATCCGAAGCCACTTCTCGGCCTGATCAACCGAGTTAATACTGGGCCGAAACGACTTGGCTGAGAGCATAGACTTCATCTGTGTTCGTGTATTAACCTCGCTATGATCTTCCCCGCGAATAATACCGTACAACCAAGTCGCAGTATCATCGTCTAGTTTTGCTTTGAACTGCTCAAGTGGCACCTTCAAAAGCTCGCTAACTTCCTCTGTTCCGAACAGCGCTGTGATCTGGTCCCCCAATTTCCCTCCTAGCATTCTGATCTTTGTGAATTTGAACCCTCCTAGGAATTTTTGGACCGCGCGATTTCGCACTACGGTTTGCTTGTTTGGTTTGTTGCATGCGCTTCCCAGCTTTGCCATCATCTTGTTTCTCGCGATCCCCGCGGAACAGGTATAGTTTAGTTTTTCCCACACGGCGTTGCGGACAGAACGGACTATTTCAGAACCTATCAACATCGCGATATCATCCCAATCTGGATCATCCTCCTCTGTTTCGTCATCGTCCAGGTCCACCAGTCCATCTTCTGGATGCCAGTCTAACGCTGTGGTTGGAGGAGAAGGCAAGACAGCCGTCTTATCATCGCCGGTAGGAGGCTCTCTTAGTTCAGGATAACGCTCAAAAAGAACACCAGATACCAGCGACGAGAGGTCGATAAAGACTTCATCTATGGAAGCTTTTTCTAGCTTGGCGGGTTGTAGTTGACCCAGAGCACCGCCTTCTATCACGGCTAGACGGTCCCTCCATTTAGACAGCTCCTCCTTGATCAGGCTCAGGATCTTCCGAGATTCTGCCCGGTATGGATCCAGCGACACCTTGTCAGTCTTGATGCTCCGGAACGCATCCTCTCGATAGGCCCATTTGCCGCCCTCTCCTTCCCTAAAAGTCGCCACATGTTGGAGGACCAGTTCGGGACAGCGTTTCTTGGCTTCGCTTGCAGAGAGCATCCGGGTGATCCCGAAAGGGCGCGCAGCATAATTGATGGCAATGAGCGAGTCCCATTGCTGGACAGCTAGAGGGGTGTCGCGCGGCGTCCCCAAACGCACCATCTCACACTGTGCGTAGAACGCATCGAGATCGAGATGCGCAATCACCCGTAAGGGACTCGACGGCGAATTCTGCCGGAGCAGCTGGAGATGACGATAGGTGTAGCGAGACCGTTTCAGAGAGGGGCCTGGTGAGGAGGGTATGAAGGGCTGCGGGGAGGGGGATCGCGGCATAGCTGGCACGGTGTCGTCATGGCGAATTGCAATAATAGAAATGAAGCAGTGTGGGTGAGACAATCAAGCAGCTCAGCTACTGCAAGGATTGTATGCTCGATTGATGAGAGCTGTCACGTATACGGTCCGTCGACCGTATGGCGATGCGATGGGTGACGTCGAGTTGAGACGCGTCCACTCGGATAACGCACGCGTTGCGGCAGCATGACTAATAACCGACCTCATCAGGAAACTCTCTTACCTGTGATAGTAATGTCTGCAACGATTAATCCCTCACACAGTCACACCCTGAGGGAAATTATCCCTAGCAGAATCCTATGATACGCGCTCTATTCGTCAGCGCTTGAGATAGTTCGAGGAGAAAATAAGCTTCGATCGGCAGCGTTCTTTTCTTCTTCGACCAGGTCAACGGCCATGATCGGGCATCTCTCGTCTCTCCAGCTCCCATCTTTGCCTTTTCGGGTTTATCTCTTTCTTTTTACGAAAGTCCTGCCCGAAGAATACCTTTCTTGGGTCCAAATAATGAGCGAGTTGCCAACGAGCTGACCACGAAGCAGACTGAAAACAGCTTAGCTGGTTCTTCCAGAAGCCGATCTGAACACCGCTGGCGCACCATGATAAAAGGATTTTCGCGCCCTACACCGGCAGGCTCAGGTACGGCGATCAATAACGATAAAGGCTGCTCGACTACGGGCTGTTCTGTATGCCTACCCGACTGCTGGTGGAGTCGGCATGCCTTTTCTTGGGACAGAGTGCGTCCCGACTGGAAGGTTCCACCGCGTCCGATGCTGGAAATTGGTCCTTGGTTCCGGGCCGGACCGAGGGCGGTCCCGTGACTGGCGGAGAAACAATGTTGCGGGCTGCGTGCCTGGCTGCGGGACGGAGCACTGCAGTTACTGCAGTTACTGCAGTACGCGAAGCTCGACGGCACTGCCGACGAGTCCCTAACAGCGCTAGCCTCCCCAGAGCCCCAGACTCTCGCGCTGATTGGCGGGCCGTGATCCTGGCCCCTGTCAGCTGGCGGCTCCTGTTGGTCCCCGCCTGGCGGTCTCTTCCCAAGCTCACCGCACACAAGCTGCGTCCTGACGGTCGATGCCCAAGCAAGCACGCATTACGGCCCAACTCGCTCTTAGGTACCACCTGCGCTTTTCCTGCCAGTGACCTGAACACACACCCGGCCTCTTCGAGCGACTGGTGGGTCGCTGAAACCGCCACGATGCAGGGCTTTCCTCAGCCAGTCAGCCGGCTAGGGAAAGCCTCGCTGAGTCGCCGCTTGTCGCACAGTGCAGGGCGCGTGCAGTACGAGGATGGAGAGGGCGGCGTCAGGTGTGAGGCTCGATGGCCAGGACTGACAGACTGGCCACGTTGAAGATTCAGCAGGCGATGAGCAAGCAGCATGACGGCTTTCCCCTTTACTTCTGCAGTCTGCAGTCTGTTTGTGAACCCCGCCGCCAAACGAGAGCTTGCGATCCCCACGGGTGTTTCCTCGGCTCCCATCGAGTCTAAGGAGGGTGTCCGTTGTGCTATGCCGTGTGCTTGCAACATTTCGGGATCTCTGCATCTGCCCTCCATCTCTCTGTCGCCTGGCTGGAGAAGGCAGCGCGGCCTTCCCGCCTGTTGCGTCCGCCGCATCCTGCTGGAACATGCTGGATTCGAGGGAAAAATCAGCCTGCCCATGATGCGGTCGCCCTAGGTTCCGTAACGGAACACGCTGTATAGTCTGTCGTAGAAAATGGGTCCACCGATGCCGAGCGCTTGAACCACAGATCAGAAGGCTTTCTCCGGACACTGGATAATCGGGGAATACGGCGCCAATGATGGGGACGTCAGCTGCGCGCTCCTGCTTGTTCCTGAGAGGTGACATAGCGGTGTAGCAGTACCTGGAGTGATAATCATGCGAAGAGATTTTTCGCTCGCCTGCTGCGATTAGCAGGCCGTGATTTGTCCCATGCGCATCATCCAGATAGGCTGCAGATCGAGACCAGGCTCGCCCCGGCGCACGTCGCCAGATGCGTCCTGTTCGTCAGGTGGAGTCGTGGCACCAGACAATGGGCAGGCAGCCCAAAGCCGGCCCAACTCTGTCGCGATGAGCCAACCGCGACGAGATGGCCTTCCCAGGGCGGGCGGCAGGCCGCAAGCCGCCCACAGCCCTCGTCGCCCCCCTCCTCGCCAAACTCCCTTATCACCACCCTCTCTCCCCCGGCCGTTTTTCTTTTTCTTCCTAACACACTGGCCTCTTCTGCTGGCCGCAGAAAACCCAGCTCGAGAAGGACCCGAAAGTGGAAGAAACCTGCCAAAAGGATCTGCCGGATCTCCCCCCCTACCCTCTTCTTTGCTTTTCATTCACCCCGCCTGCCATCCATCCTCTCTATCCCGGTGTCGAGACGGTGTCGCCTCTGTCCGAGCACGCAACGGACCCGTGAATAGGCCTGGGGATTCTCTTCGCGGCCGCCCGCCAGCCTTTGTGGATAAGCCATTGCCGGTGTTCCATAGCCTCTGGGGTCAAGCTTAGAATAGCCCAGACCTTGCAATCTTCTGAACAACGTGTTCATATTGTCTGTGTGTGTGATCCGTGTGCCCGACCCTGGATAGGCCTGGAAATTCCACAGCCTTGGGATCCCTTGGACGCTGGACCTGTTCTCCTGGTTGTCTTATCTTCGGCCTGGAAAACCAAGGAACCAAAAGTCAAATAATTACCGGACGTCATCCCTCTGGATCTTTCGGCCTTGCTGCACCCCCTCAGGATTTTCTTTTTCCTATTTCCCACTTGGATCTCTCGCTCCTCTCTGGATCCTCTGCATTCTGGACATCATGACCGGACGCCATGGATTGGAACGCCAGAATGAGTATTTTATTCCTGGAGATGGCATTAGCCGTGAAGTGATTCAGGCGGATATCTGCCGGTACCTAGGAAACGATGCGCTCGTAAGACCTGGAACGCATAATGTTCGCCTTCCAATCTCTTCTTCTCCTGTGTAGAGCTTCACTCACTTTGGGTCGCATTTGCTGACGTGAGGGACAGGGTCAAAAAGGCTATTTAATACGTGCCTATCGGAATCTTACTTCGGTAAGCTATCCGCTGCACGTCCAAGTGCATCAAACCGAAAACAAGGCTAATTCTGTCGCGTGTCTAGGAAATGATAGCTGATCTGAAAGCTGATTCCGCCCGATGGGAGGCAGAGGTCGCACGCAGACAGGAGATGGGATACTCAGGAGCAAGAGGTACTTATGATCAAGATGCGCGCAGGTCTCGCAGCCCTAACACGCCTCCAGCAAATTATGCTTCGTCCTCGATCCATGAAATACGTCAACAGGGTGGCCCGTCGCCTCCTACCTATAATGCAGCTCCCGCTCAGTATATGGATCCCTATGGACAACCCCCCTATGGTGCGACTCAAAACCCTCCATATCCGCCTCCGTCCTTCCCCAGCTCTCAGCCTTCCTACGGAACAGGCCAGAACCCTTATCCTCCACCACCACCACAAAACCCTTATTCCGGACCAAGCCAGCCCCCCGTGTCTGCTCCGGATGTACATCCGTCGTCATATACATACACGAGCAGCACCGTCGGCTACGGCTATGAAGGAAGGAATAATGCGCCCAGGTATCCAGGGCCGGGCTATGAAAATGATTCAGAATATTCACCTGTTACGTCAAGTATGGCTTATCCTGCTGCAACCACTGCCCCGGATCCCCGGATAGGAATGGACCCAAGATACGCACCGGAGCCCGCCTACCAGGATCCCAGAGCTCAGACCAACAGGCCACAGCAGACCAGGGGAGGAGAAGCTCATCGTCGAACCCGTTAAACTGGTCCCCTCCTTTCCTTGACCGGGGTGACTAGAGTGTGTACTGAGAAGTCACACTCTTTTCAGACTTTGTCTGTTGGGCCAGCATAAGCACCTGATGGAGAGAAGCCGAAGGAGAATGCCACAGAAAAAAACTCCGAGGTTTATGCGAGTTCCTCATTCAGGGAGAGGAGAAGAAAAAAATTACGACCCGCGCGTTTTCTTTCTGGTTTCTGGATACCCGTCGGGACAGAGGGGTTTCTTTTTTCTTTACTTGATTCCAGATGTCATTGACAGGAACTCTTTCGCGGATGACTGATGTTTTGAATCAAATGCGACCTGTATTGTCCAGGGTCATACCGAAATTTGGCTTGGGGGTTTAATATGGAATCGTTAGTACTGGAAAATTGCCGACCTGGGCCTTGTCGAGGAACAACGCGTCCAGAATCTATATTTTTAATGAATGCGATGTGTTCTCCACCGGTCATTATGGAGTTGACTGGTGGGGAGAGCGCCATGACAGGATTACGAAAAGGTGGCTTTCTACTTTGTCTGCATGACCTGTTTTTGGATATCTTTTGTTTGTCCTGCTATTATCCTTTTTCGTTTGTACAGAAATTCTTTTTTATCTATGGGTTGATATGCGAGTGAACCTCTTCTGGGAGCGATGTCGATTCCCTTTTGTGGACTTACCCATACTGCTGCGTTGGGGTGCATCTGTCAGGAGCTTGAAGAATCTCGTTGCGAACGGTGTTACTTTTCGTACAGGAATATGGGGGAACAACGCTGTAGATAAATGCATTTCCGGCGTTTTGATTTACTGCCTTGTTGAGCAAGCAATAATAACTAACTCGTCTCTTGTCCTTAATGGTCTTGCTTTTCTGTGGATTGATTGTTGCGCCAAGGATTCCTCGATTCCACGTTTCCCATCAGATTTCTCTTGCTGCTCTTGTAGACTGGCCTCACTTGACTATCAGCCACGAGCATCTATGCCATACCTCATTCCTATTTCAATCGACCTACTTCGGGCCTAATTACTTCAGTCTTCACCTCTGAGTCCAATCTTTCTTGTCTTGATATTCAATTCATATTATTTCCATTCGTCCTTCCGTGCCATGGACATATCAATCAGTCAGTCAATCAACTTGACCTCCGATTGAACTCAGTTACAAAGTGACGGACATATGAACAAAGTTTCGCCCTCGAAAATGAGCTGAGGAACATAGATAGGATAGAATATATCTCATTACCACCACTGGATCCATTTCCACCTTTAAATGTTCACCTCATATTGTCTTTTGTCCTAGATAAGTAGCAAATATTTCTGAACAGATAGATCTCAAATAATGTTAACGTAACAACAAGTTTGAGCTTAAGCTTCCTGGCTAGTCATTGTTTCTCGATACTCGTATCTTTTTTCCCCTTTGGCTCAAAATCATGGGAAATATGGTAACGGTAGACAATACTAGTTAGATACAGACTGGAATTCATATCATTCTCATCTGGTTGTGATAGAGGCTGACTGAGATAATTTTTTGCTCATTCTACTTCCTGATGTGTCAACGCAGTCAAACTCTCAGTTTTACTTTACTGACTTACTAACTTATGTGACCTCTTTGTTTATTTTCCCCTCTCCTGTCCTGTCCTTTCTGCTCGCGTTTCTCTCTGCATCAATCCCACACTCTCTTATTATGTCTCCTTTCACGAACAGATAAAACCTTGTCTCGGCGTCCGAAAACAGTTCTCGGCGTGCATTCTTGACTTCTCTTTCCACTTCACGTCTGCATGCTGACACTTTCCTGTCTCAGCGTGCAAAGGAACCCTCACAACAAGTCTTTCGACCTTTGGCTGTGAAATCACAGCCTATAAGCAGACCAGCAAGATACGCATCTATGGAGGCCCCCAGCAGCATATCTTCTGAGTTCCCGTTCTTCACAAATGGAGATGTCACCCTGTTTATCCCACCTGGCAATTTCTACAAACTCCATTCAGATATCCTGCGGCGCTGCTCAGGCTTCTTTGCTGATGTCCTCACAGAGGAGAATGCAGCAAAATTAAAGAAATCTGCTGAAAGGACTGGCATCTACACACGCTACAGACTGGATTTGATGCCCTCTGCAGCGCATCATAATGGCATGTTCCAAATGAAGGTACGGGGCACCTCTCTGCTGCGTATTTGCATTTGATGTTTCTACACATAGCATTTTCTATTGTGCTAACAGCATTCACATAATAAAATCAGAAGGTGGATAGACATGGGAGCGCTGTCAGTGATAAGAATAAGAACAAGGAAGGTTTGATTGAGAGTTTCTACTTGATCCCAGAAACAGCTTGCAGACACTGGAAGAACCTCCTCGGAGCATTCTATGGCCGCCTTCCAGAGATCAATGAGAACAATCTGCAGACTGTGCTGCAGAGCTGCATCGGCCTTATAGACATTACAGAGAGCATCCGGGCATCGTCCGCGATCCGCCAGTCTGTTGACATTGCGCTGCTCCGCCAGGGCCAGATTCTTTTCCGTTCCATTGCTGCCAGCCCTATCGAATGGGGCAATCTCGCCATCCGAATCCACTCACCTTCTATCTTCCGTGACGCTGTCATCCACCTGGTTGGCAAATGGAACCAGTTTACAGAAGAGGATCGCAGGAGGTTGACAGGCAACCTGCGGGAGCTCTGTGAAAAGAAACACAAAGAGCTTCAGACGAGGAAGAAGGCCATCGAGATCGGGATCCTGGGCCATTATCCTCAGTCTCTTTACCGTCGTGCTGGCAAGGACAATATCAGCCGCACTGCCTACTCCAACGATATCTACTGGTGGATGGCCATTTCTATCTACCGCCAGTGGTTCTGCCAGGCTGTTTCAGAGGGACGGAATCGCGTCGCCCCTGATGGAGGAGCTGCCTTCTACCGTTCCATTGGAAAGGCGGGCTCAGCGTACTTGGATACCCAGGACTATGCCAACTTCCACAATCTCTTCCAGATGAGCACCAAAGGCCGCACCATTCTATATGACAAGCTCAGGCTGCTGAAGTTCGAAGTCAGAAAGTATGTGAGCAGCCTGCTGGTCAATCGGAGCCAGCTGGATATTGAAGCTGAGGGGGAGCTCCAGCACCTTACATGCTGTGAAGTTACGTGGGCAGATATGCCATGGGAGGCCTCCCTGACGGCGGATACTGCAGCTGCAGATCATGCCTCAGAGGACTCTTCAGACAATGATAGTTCCTCAACATCAGATGTGATGGAGGAGGAAGAATATGATGCGGATGATTCCCTGGGTGAATGAAAAAATGCCCCCCCCCCCTGTGAATGTATATACAGATTCACTCCAAGAAACAGAAGCAGGGTTCAATCATGAAAAACTTCAAATTTGAAAAAAAATTAGCTTTGAGGATCCTCCAGGTTGCGTGAAGCGTTTGTGCTTATCACAGAGAATGAACATTAGGATTTTATTTGAATATGTGCTAATATTCTTTGACTATCATATCAAATCCAAGTACATACATACGGGTCCTGGGAGTTCTCCAGTGCCAGATGATATACATCCAGCACAAAGAACACATGCATATGGACTTCAGGAGCTCTTCAGAGCTGGATTACATGGATAGAGAAAAAACAACACATATAGCTTCTGAAGTCCCATAATGCCAGATTCTGCACGTCTAGTATGGATGACATATATATATAGATTCTGGGAACCCTCCAGTGCTGGATGGCACAGATGCAATATAAATAACACATACGCATTCTGGAAGTCTTTCAGTGCCAGATGACACAGTATTTGGAGGTGCTGGTTTCTTTTGTAGAGAGGTAATAAAGGGCATTCTGTTGAAAGTGTGGCTGTCTTTTTTTTTAAAAAAAAATTCTTTCCGCCAGTGACCAGGCTCTTGCATCTCGCATCTGTCAGTTGAAGCGAGAAATGCAGACACAGAACAAGAACACTCTTCTCTAGCAAGCACATCAAAAATCAAGAGCTGGCATTGTTGAACGGATAAAAGGAAGTTTTTCTGTCTTTGAATATGTCGACATTTATGTACACTATAACTCCTAGGACCTCTGTATAACTGATGCCATGACTGTCAAAGGAATTGCGGAAGTATGTCGGCTGCAAAGCTTCAACGATACCTGTAAAATGGACCTGAAAAACCCTGCCGCTAGAAGAGCTCACTCCCTGGCGACCACCTAGCATATGAGGCCTTCTAAAGCACACCGTTGGGAACCAGAGATCTTCAATCTCCCAGGCATGCTGCAACCAACACTCTCCGACCAAATCATCGTTCTATCAATCACACTGCACTTCCATCCCCAGGCGCTTATTCATCATCGTCGAAACCTTCAGGAATGACTCGAGGACCCTTGGGGACTATTTCACATGAAAAGTTAGCAACACAGCACTTTGGTTCCCAACTGCGGCGAACAGGTAATCGTAGGAAAAGTATTGAAAAGAGGGGAAGCTATGCGGCGCTCTGAGCCAGCAGGAACGGTCTTACTCGGATATGTCAAGGGAATTGGCTCGGGGTCGACGGATCCGAAATACCGTCGGATAGGAGGCAGGGTGACCAGCGCGACGGGGCCGAAAGAGCCGACAACAATAGAATAGAAAATCGCAGGCTTCTCGTGAGATGCCCAGCGCAGGTAGCGCAGAGGCGCCGACCAGAATTGCGGAGCCGACATCGTGGCTATGTGACCGCGCACCGGAAGTGCTTCGAAGACTAGTGTCTGGGTTCAGAAATCGCGAATGCGAAATCGATGACTCTGACCAACGAGCAATTGGAAAGAATGCTGTCCTCTGCAGTCTCTCCGATCGACTGCGAACTCGATTTGCGAGGTGGATTGCACACCGAGGCGAGATTCTCTGCAGGAGAGGGGATTTGAAGGTGAGGTCGAACAACTGAAGTCGGAAATGCTGCGGGATCGCAAACCGCGGGTCCAGCTCTGGTCTTGGCATCCGGAGCAACACGTCGCCCGATTGCGAATACATACTACAGGCCAGCTTGGAGATAACGACTGGAAGCCGCCAACAAAACACCCAATTCCTTCTGGTTTCTCTTCTTTTTCTCTCCTCTCTTCCGTCTCACGCCGCCTCGCGCGGAGGCTTCCAAGATGAGGTGGCTTCTTTCTTTCTTGCTTCTGGGCTTCTGGGGCGCCGTACATGCATTGAGCAGTTCGGGCAGCCGCTTGCTGGTCATACTCGAGGAGGATAAGAGCCTCTATTCCACATTCTGGGAAGACCTGGAAGGTGAAGCAAACCACGGCCTTGGGTCTTTATATCTAGATGATTTATACTAACTTGATCTAATTCTAATAGCGCGAGGCTATTCGATCACTTTCGAGTCGCCGAAGAACGAGAAGCTCTCTTTATTCCACCTTGGAGAGAAAGCTTACGACCATCTGCTCATTCTCCCTCCTAAGTCGAAAGGTCGGGTTGTTTCTGTTTTGTAGTGAGCATACAACTTGCGTGCAAGCAATTGACCCAAGAAACAGGTCTTGGGCCCGCATTGACGCCGAAGGTGTTACTCGACTTCATCAACAATGAGGGCAATATTCTCCTGGCGCTCTCCGGCAAGTCTTCGGTACCAAGCGCCGTCAGCTCTCTCCTCCTTGAACTTGATATCCATCTCTCTCCTGACCGCTCCTCCGTGGTGGTGGATCACCTCAACTACGACACCCTTTCCGCGGCCGATAAGCACGATGTCCTCCTCCTCCCTCGACCAGGTGTCTTGAGACCGGATGTGAAGTCCTTCTTTTCCGGAGATGGCATTGTGGCTATTCCCAGGCCAGTCGGACAGTCCTTGGGCAATGACAGTCCCCTTCTCGCTCCTATTCTGCGAGCTCCTGAAACGGCATACAGTTACAACCCCAAGGATGATGCAGTCACTGTGGAAGACAGCTTCGCGACAGGCTCGCAGCTGGCATTGGTTTCGACCCTCCAGGCAAGGAACTCGGCTCGTTTTACCGTCCTCGGTTCTGCGGAGAGTTTGGAAGACAAGTGGTTTGATGCAACTGTCAAGGGACCAGCCGACAAGAAGCAGACAACGACCGTCAATCGGGACTTCGCCAAGCAGCTCAGTGCTTGGACCTTTAAAGAGACGGGAGTGCTCAAGATAGGGAAGATCGAACATTACCTCAGCGACAAGGAGGGCGCCATTATCGGCGAATTGAATCCGACCATGTACCGGGTTAAGAATGACATTGTAAGTGTTGACTTTCTGTGCCTGAGTTTCTCCACTGTGGGACTAACACTACATCTCTCAGACGTTCAACATCGAACTCTCCGAGTACGACTTCGATCGGTTTGTGCCTTTCGAAGTTCCCTCTGAGGATGCTTTGCAGCTGGAGTTCACCATGCTTTCTCCATTCCACCGTCTCAATCTCCTGCCGAAACTCCGCACGGAGAATAGCACCGTCTACGGTGTCACTTTTACTATCCCTGATCAGCATGGCATTTTCTCTTTCCGCATCAATTATAGACGTCCATTCCTCACCAATATCGAGGAGAAGCACGAGATCACCGTCCGCCACATTGCACACAACGAGTACCCACGGAGCTGGAAGATCACCGGCGGCTGGGTCTGGATTGCTGGTCTCTGGACTGTTATCGCGGGATTCCTCGCGTTTGTAATTGTTTGGCTGTACTCTGAACCCTCTTCGGCAGCGGACGCGAAGATTAAAAAGACCCAGTGAAGGGCAAGATGGGATAATGAAAACATTACCGTATTCAAATGATTTCCTGAAAAGGGATAGACCCGATACGTCGCTTTTATTTCATGTACGGTGCATTTATGGATGTAAATTTACTTGGATCACCTAGAAGATTGATTTCTCTTTCGACTTGGCGGTAATGCCTTGTAGGAGGTTGGCTAAAGCTACAGTTTGCCTCTCGGAGTGCTCATAGCACGCCTCTTTGATGTATCCATCTGTGGGAATCTGCTTTCGACATTTGTATGTAATTAAAAAAGCGTGACCATGACAAGTCCTAGGAAAACAATAGTAGTATACAGAGCGGCGTGTTCTCTCGCCCAGATCATCCAGATTCTCCTACCATGCCAACCCAGCCAGAATGATCGACAATAACTCCGACCCATGCAAAAAAAACGCAAATCTCCTCGACATAATACTAGTACAGTTTTATCGCTCATTTTGATCACGGGGATGGCTCTTCAATGTCGATAACTATATCTGTACAAAACCCGCCATTTTTTTTTGTCGGCCGCAAGCCCGCCTAGTAGTCAAACAGCTCACAAACCCCTTGTCTTCTCCGGGTCCATCTGCACCTCATCTCCGCTGATTTCCTTCACGGTTTCAAATGCGGGCTTGCCTGCGTACAGCTGATATGACGGTTTGGATTTGCCGTCGAGATCCTTAGTGACCGAGATGGGTGCATTACCACGGAAGCGTTTCCGCATGTCGACCATTCCGCGTCTGGGCAGATATTTCGATATTAGCGAATAATCACAAGTATGTCAAGTGAAGACTACCACAAGACAGAGAGAGACGTACTTGCATTCCGCAAGACCTTTCCGTAATTGTTGGCATCTCGTGGGTAGCTCGTCGGATAGCGGAGGGCGAAGGCAATCCTGTGGAGAATGTCGCTGCACCATAATGCAGTCGGACTCCTGGAGACATTCCGCCAGCGCTTTCCCTGTAGTTCAGAGGTTGTTCAGTCAGCGAGCTGCAAGATTCATTTTGAACAGAAGGCGGCTTCAAGATTCCGCGGGGAAAAGGGCCAACAGTGCATGCAGTCTCGACTCAATTGCGCGGCATCACCGGACAAAAGAGCAATACTCACGGATATCTTTACACGAGCTAGGCATCTTGACAAATGCGATAGGCAGCTATCTTTCTATTGCAATAGATAATGAATGGCTCGCGGGTCAGTTGAGGCTGGATTGTCCGACCATCCCGGTATCTCAAGCGGAGCTGCCAAATCCCAGAACGGCTTAGCGCGTGGCTGTAAACAAGCCACTGTGATTGGTGCAGATAACAGGCTTAACCCCGGATTATCTAATCCAGGCAACCTCGCAATCACATGCAACGACAACTACTGGCATTCGTATGGACTACGTCACAGGACTTGGTACATGCGCATGTACTCCGTGCATCGGTCTCTGCCTTGAGGTATTTCTCATGATCTTTCTTCAACATGACTCTAAACAATACTGACTGCTCACAAAGAAACTCGTTTGCGCCATCTCACTCTCTTCTATATACTATACGTGGTTGAGACCTTCATGCATATGTGTACATATATGCCACAGACTTGAAACGTGGGCCGGGGAACGCTATGCCACGCGTCCCTCTCATTGGAAGGCTCTTCTGGTAGGCTCTGGACATCATGCGTCACACTTCAGTGAGAATACAGAGATGTTGGGATTCGGAGCCTGTCTCCAAGTCCTTCAGCGAATCTGACAAACACAGAAAATTATTGAATGGTTGAGTTTGAAGTTTTATGAGCTGATCACGATGTCTTTGTCCAGGGCCGAATACCTTGCTCTCTTTGCCTCTCTTTCCCTGGTGTTCCTGGAAGGGGTCATTCGTCTGATCACCTTATACCTTCGTAGGATCCCAGTTTTATCTATTATTGAATGTGAAAGAGCTAACGTCTGAAACAGCGGAGCCCATTATTCGCTTCTGCTATCAGCAGTCCAAAGCCTTATTCAATCTTCTTTCTTCGCCTCAGGGCCGGGTCTCCCGTGCTAAACAGAAGACACTCGCTGAATCGATTGCGCGCGCCTCCGACTTTGCCGATCTCTGCGCGTTGTTTGGATACGAGGCAGAGGAACACATCGTCCAGACGGGCGATGGATATCTTCTTGGCTTGCATCGCCTTCCTTATAGGAAAGGCGAAGAGGGAATGTTGGTGAACACTGGCGAAGGCAGTATCCGCAAGAAAGTAGTCTATCTGCACCATGGCCTGCTCATGAATAGCGAGGTCTGGGTGTGCATGACCGACGAGCAACGTTGTTTGCCATTCCAGCTAGTCGAGAGAGGCTACGATGTCTGGCTAGGCAATAATCGCGGCAACAAATACTCGAAGAAATCCACGCGATGCTCGCCGGCGACCACGGAATTCTGGAACTTCTCGATCGATGAATTCGCCTTTCATGATATTCCAAATAGTATTGAATACATCCTGGAAGTCACAAAGCAGCCGTCCTTGTCGTACATAGGATTTTCGCAAGGCACGGCCCAAGCATTTGCAACGCTGTCGATCCATCCCGTGCTCAATCAGAAGGTCGATGTCTTTGTTGCCCTCGCCCCTGCCATGTCTCCCGCCGGACTCCATAACGGTATTGTGGACTCCTTGATGAAGGCCTCGCCACAGGTCGTCTTTCTCGCTTTTGGACGACGGAGCATTCTCAGCTCAACCACGATGTGGCAGGCCATCCTCTACCCTCCGATCTTTGTCCGGATCATTGACGTGGCACTGCGCCTGCTTTTCAATTGGACGGGTGAAAATATCACCCAGTCCCAGAAGCTGGCCGCATATCCTCATCTGTACTCCTTCACCAGCACCAAATCGGTCGTGCACTGGTTCCAGATCATACGCAATAAGAGCTTCCAGATGTACGATGACGAGGTTCGGGGCCCTTTTAGCATTGGGGCCAGCAGTCGATACTACAAACCAGTCAAGTATCCGACCAGAAATATCAAATCTCCGGTCGTCCTGATTTACGGTAGTAGTGACAGTCTTGTCGATATAAATGTCATGCTCCGAGAGTTACCGCGTCGCACTACCGTGAGGGAAATTCCCAAATACGAACATTTGGATTTTCTGTGGGCTCAAGATGTGGATCAGCTGGTCTTCCACCATATCTTCGAGGCCCTTGAAACGCACGCTGGTGGCCATTCTACTGTTGCCTCCTCGAAAGAAAGGACTGCACAGGACACCACCACTACCACCAAATCTGTTGTTGACACCAAGCCTGTTGACACCAAGCCTGTTGACACCAAGCCTGTTGTGTCTCCGCTGAAGCAAAACAAAATCGAAAACCTAAGGCCAGTACCAAATATCTCCACGACCCGAAAATACTACACGTCTTCTTCTATCGACAGATATTCCCCTCGCGGCCCGTCCTATGCGGACGAAGACTGGAGAGTCGATCCGGGGAAGGCCCCGGAAGATGTTGATTTGGACGCGGTGCTGTAAGAGCAAGGCTCTTCACCATCCCCGTTACTCGATCAACTATTGATACCCAGATTGGAAAAAAAATTTTTTTTGTTCTCTTCTTTGTCAATTTTTTCTCATCATGTCTTTTCCGGTTGGAGACCGTCCCCTAAGATTCAATACATACCTACATGCATAGACCCTTGTCATGATACTGTCTGTACATAAATCCAGACGATGATATGTGTGTACACGCTAGCATTATACCAAGGTTGTTAGAACATTGTTCGAATTCAAACCAATACAAATGAATCCTTACCAATAAATATCTACTGGCCAATCATCGTAAATAGATAATTAGAAGATACAGGACAGACATATATTTTAGGCAGGCACCTTAGGACGATCGTCAATCTGGTTTAAGGTGAAAGATTATATAATGATTACGGAGAAACCAGACAGGTATCTTATGCAAAGATAAGAGCTTTCGGGCTCTTAAAACTACACCTACTCGCTTTAATTGGTCGGTTATTCTAAGGGATCTTAGCATACTTGCAAGCTATATATGCACATGCTCTGTTAGGCACATGTGCAGTACTATATCTTAGGCTCGAGTATTATTGCGTCATTTTCCGCCCACAATCCCTGAGTGAATTATTTATTATCGTTATTGCCTCTGAAAATTTCTCAGATGCAATTCAAACGTGCCCAGTCTGATTTATAATTTCTTTTCCACCTGGACCTAAGACCTAAAAAAAAACACCACATTGCCATAATTCATTTTACCTGGGCTTTTGGTCTACAGAGAACTTACATATGTAGACGTGCCCGAAATTTTTTTTTCCTCGCTAGAGCACGTTTAATTAATTGTAATTTAAATTGACATAGACTGGACCCTCGCGTTTGTCTTTCATTGTCTAACAAAAATAGAAATAGAAAAAATACCAGCCAATAATTAATGCAGGTACAAAGCAAACCGCCCGCTTCGAGAAGGTGCCGTTATCCCCATAGGTTAGGGATATTAAAATGTTGTCTTTCAAATTTATCACAGACCTACATAATTCAACCAATCAAGACTCGAACAAACCAAACGCTGCTAACCCACTCAGGTCTTACCCACCGAGGCCATAACCACATGTCGACAAACGTCTAACGGCCTGCCCGCGTGGAAATCGGCCTGTGCTGCGTGGTCCGGAGCTCCGTAGGTATGTGCGCATTCGGAGACAAAGTTAGTAGCTGGTAGTCGTCAGTTCGTGCTATGGCCAGAGGCCCAAACAGTTGAAGTCCTGGTGAATGCCGCAAGATCTTTGAGGTTAATCACATCGTCAGGGCATGACGCATCTGCAAATGCAGGGTCCTAGGTATCTGTGACAGAGCTAGAGCTGGAGAAGAATGGCACCTGCATCAATCACCCGGGGTTTAACCTATCACGATCTCTTCATCTACGTAGTCGACCTAGGTGCATGGATTATTATGGACCAACCCATGTGATAATGTCGCATGGCGCGTCGACATCCTTGCAGCCAGTAGCAACGCCTGGGGGTGCTGCCCTAGGTCAGTTCCTTAAACGTCAGTCTTTTTTTTAACCTATTTCTTTGTTTGGTTTCATACAGACACCAGAATCTTGCTGCTCCAAACAGAAGTAGAAAGGTAATCATACTAGTGAAAAGAGCTCAGCAGTACAGTACACACATGTAGGTACGCGAATGATAGATCGAGTGTCGACATGTGCCTGAAATAAGTACCACAGCAGTTAGCTGGTCAAGAATTGCCCAATTGAGAGGATGATCGAATGAATCCTAAGATTAGCAGCACTCCGATGGAATTGTTCGTTGCCCTTCTCTCTCGTTCCCGGCGGACATGTCTCACCTGACTGACGTCCGGCCAGCCATACCTCGCTTCTCTCATCACCGCTGCCCATCCATATTTTGTCCTCCATCTCCGGTCTACTTATAAGAGATAATTAATAGCCAGTCGATAAAAGAATATTCTATCTCACTCGCCACGAACCCCGCAATCGAAACTGGGTCCGCGTCGCACTCAGGCCGGTCCTCCATAGAATCCCGCAACTAGCCGGCCAGAAGAGCTCAGAACTGGTATGTCATCACGTTCCTCTCTCTGTGCCATCAAATCAGTTGGCAGCATCTTCGTCGCCTCGCCCATCGATAGTCAGCTTAGGCTCCTCCACATGTTTGGCTGTCCGATGGGTCGTGATTGCAGATCGCTGGCTTGATCCGAGGCTTTCTGGCGTGCTGCTGGACTGGCTTCACGACTCAATTGGGAGATCGCCTACCGCGGTCCGGCCGCCAGAGGGCTGGTCCGTCTGTCCCCAATCCAATCTGTGCGCCGTCCACAGCTGTTTGCATGATATGATGCCTCTGCTGTTTTGTTTGTTCCTTGTTCCGCCGTCCGGTTGTAAGCAGCCGACAGGAACACGTCTGCTCTATAGCTGACTGACCGTCTGAGCTGGGTGCAGGCTAACGCAGAGCTGTGTCGCTAGTATTGCTGCTATTGGCGATAATCCTCAATATTTGCGACGTCCAGAGGCGCGGCGGGACATTTTAGGTTTGCTCGCGGGACTTTGGGCGACCCGTCTTGCCCACCGAACGATCGAGATTCTCACCGCCGCACTGCCTGGCTGTCATTGTTCTTGTTCTTATATTCTTGCTCGCCAGATCGGATCCTCCGAGGCAGACGCATCTGCAGAATCGCATCGCAGGCTATCTCCGGCCCCCGACGCCAGAAACCTGCCCAATTGCGCTCTGACCAACCGATTGCCTTCTGTTTCTCCGAGCTCCCGCTCCGGTTTCGCTAGCCCTGCTGCGAGCGCCGTCCTGCCAAAAGCACAGCTCGCCGTCAATTGAACGGACTCCTGCTCATCAGAGGCAATTCAGCTCTGATTCGACAATTCCATATCACGAGCTGGCCGTTTGTCGAGGCAATTCTTCCCTGTCAAGACGCGTATAGATCTGGAGTGGCGTGGCGTCGGGGTTTCCTGTCCATACAATTGGGGTCTGGGGGGAAAGGTTCGAGATCGATGTGAAAAGCCTACAATCGCTACTCTGTTCGTTTCTGCATCGGTGGCAGTCAATCCAGCAACGGACTGAGTCCGTGACTACAGGATTGAGTCCTGGTTGATCGTGTACGAAAGGATCCCCCGCACGAGGTTCGCAGATCGACGGTGGGCCCAGTCGGTACTTGAACACAGCCAGAGCGAGCTCCGGCCAGCCTCAATTGCTTAAAGCATCGTCGGATTGTACACACTGGTTTGTCTTGAGCCCTGGGGGCTCTGTCATCCGTTCAGGTGGTCATACTTCAAGCCTTCTTCAGATGCAGCCACGGTGCGTTGCGCGTGCTTGCCCGTCTTTGTGATTAACCGCAATGCCGTTCGGTGACGTATACTGACAGTCCCTTGTTGTGTCAGACGAGAATACCATATTGTTGTCTTGGGTGCCGGTATGCGAGAAGCCTATGACAGTCCCAAACACTCTCGCTGACGACTCTGCCACAGGTGGTGTTGGGAAAAGCTGTCTTACTGGTATATACTTTCCCCTTACGACGGACGGCAACTCACTCCGGGTTTTGCGATTCCTGTCCTTGAACCGAAGTTTCGTCAAGTAAGATACTCATTGTCGCACAGCTCAATTCGTGCAAAATGTGTGGATTGAGAGCTATGACCCAACGATCGAGGATTCGTACCGGAAGCAGATTGAGGTTGATGTGAGTGCATTTCGCTCCCCAGGCGCAGTACGGAATACAAGAGAGTTGGCTAACAGTCATCCTCTAGGGCCGACAATGTATTCTGGAAATGTACGTGCCGACAGCCGTCGCGTGGTGGAAGTCACTAACAGATAATGGCTTTGCAGACTTGACACGGCCGGAACAGAACAGTTCAGTAAGTTGCAACCATTGCCTGGTCGGGTTGAGCTATTTTGTGGTTCCCAGAGCTAACTGCTATCCTCAGCTGCGATGAGGTACATACACCTGAAATACTAGCTTCTATAGCATTCCAATAGCGGGCATGGTCATCGTTGACATCGACGATCATAGCGTTTGTTCTTGTTGATGATAAACGATGCTGACGGTCTTCTTATAGAGAACTGTATATGAAGCAAGGCCAGGGCTTCCTCCTTGTCTTCTCCATAACCAGCCAGTCCTCCCTACACGAACTGTCTGAGATCCGCGAGCAGATCGTCCGCATCAAGGATGACGAGAAGGTACCCCTGGTGCTCGTGGGCAACAAATCCGATCTGGAAGAAGATCGGACGGTTTCTCGGGCCCGCGCGTTCGCTCTGTCGCAAAGCTGGGGCAATGTTCCGTACTACGAAACGTCTGCGCGGCGACGGGCCAACGTCAACGAGGTGTTCATTGATCTGTGCCGGCAGATCATCCGGAAAGATCTCCAGGCATCTCAGATGAGACAACAGGAGAACACGAACCGGAAGAGGGAAGGGCCCAACCGACATGACCGGAAAAGGGAGCGACTACGACAGTCGAAAAAGCGAGGACAGTGTATCGTCTTGTGAAGAAGCACGCCCACTTTTACCATGCATGCCTTATGTTTCCCCCCATCTCTAACGAAGAAACTTCTTCTATGATTCTCATGACACATTGCATATTCACACTCTTACACGTTTGGCGAGGTTGCCTGACATTTTCGCGGCAGCTTCAGTACCTCTGTGCAATGATATGTTACCCGATAGATCACGCCATGCCTTTTGTTTGTCTCGAAGAAAGAAAGCAAAAAAAGTTAGATACCTCCGAATTGGCCGATATTTTCCTACTTTTCCTTTCGTACATATTACATGATTTGACAAATTTGTCGAAAAAAAAAAAGGAAAAATATCTATGATATCTCCATTGAATTCTAATCATTGACTGATTCCTTGAATGATTACATCCTAAACACGCCAAATTTCGTCTGCACCGAGTCCACTTTGCCGCCCAGAGCGGCAGCAAGACCCATGCCCAGAACCTGACGCGTGCGGGCGGGAGGAATAATACCGTCGTCCCAGAGCCGGGCCGACGAGAAGATGGCTTTGGATTCGTGATCGATGCGCGATTTCAGCTCTGGGTCGGCGGTCTTGCCTACCGCCTCCATCACGGCGGTGAGTTGCTCGGAGCCCATGACGCCGATTTTGGCGTTGGGCCACATGAAGAGCAGTCGGGGGGAGTAGGCGCGGCCACTGAATAAAGACTGTCAGCTCTCTCACTCTCTCCTTTTTTTTTCTGGGGAGGGAAGACTCACCACATGCCGTAATTTCCTGCACCGGCACTCGATCCAAACACGACCGTAAACTTGGGGATATCGGCACAAGCCACGGCCGTGACCAGCTTCGCGCCGTTCTTCGCAATACCCCCTTTCTCCGCATCTGCTCCGACCATGAACCCGGAGATGTTCTGCAGGAAAACCAGCGGGATCCCGCGCTGGGCACACAACTCGATGAAATGCGCTCCCTTCAGGGAGGACTCGGAGAACAGAATGCCGTTGTTGGCCACGATCCCGACCTGCATGCTGTAGATGCGCGCGAACCCCGTGACCAGTGTGGTGCCGTAGTCGCGTTTGAACTCGGCGAATTCGCTGCCGTCGACGATTCGGGCGATCACCTCGTGCACTGGGATCTGTCGACGGAGGTTGGTGCCCACGATGCCTGCCAGCTCCTCGGGGTCATAAAGCGGTTCCTTGATGGTAGTCGTCTGGGACCATGGGAAGCTGGTCTTGGGGTAGTTGAGATTGGCGACACACCGGCGTGCAAGAACAAGGGCGTGAGCGTCGTCCACAGCCAGGTAATCCGTAACTCCAGAGATGGTGCTGTGCAAGTGCCCTCCACCCAGCTCTTCCGCCGAGACGACCTCCCCGGTGGCCGCTTTCACCAGGGGAGGACCGGCCAGGAAGATAGTGCCCTGGTTCTCGACAATGATTGTCTCATCGCTCATCGCGGGAACGTATGCTCCTCCCGCGGTGCAGGGCCCCATAACCACGGAAATCTGCGGTATACCGAGGGAGCTCATCCGGGCTTGATTGTAGAAAATGCGCCCAAAGTGGTCTCGGTCCGGGAAGACGTCCGCCTGATGCGGCAGATTGGCGCCACCGGAGTCGACAAGATAGATACAAGGCAGCTTATTCTCCTGCGCGATGGCCTGCGCGCGCAGGTGCTTCTTCACCGTGATCGGATAGTACGTGCCTCCCTTGACGGTGCTGTCGTTGGCGACGATCATGCAGGTCACTCCCTCGACGGTGCCGATGCCCGTGATGATCCCTCCGCCAGGCACGTCCTCGCCGGGGTACACCTCGTGGCCCGCCAGGGGGGAGAGCTCGAGGAACGAGGTCCCCGGATCGATCAGCGCGGTGACCCGATCGCGGGGCAACATCTTGCCTCTCGCAATATGCTTATCCTTTGCCTTCTGTGGACCGCCTTGCGCGATCTTCTCGTGCAAGCGGGTCATTTCCTCCACCAGCTCGTTCATCTGCCTGGCGTTCTCTTTGAACTCTGGAGAGGACGTGTCGACAGCGGTGGGCAGGACGGAAATGGAGGCGGCATGATGGGGATGCGTGTAGGTCGCCACTGATCTCGCTGATTGTGGATTCCGGCATCGCTGGAAGGCCGTTCGAGGGTGTGGTTGTTGTTGTTGCTGCTGTCGAAGTGGTAATAGACACCGCGGTCTGGGGGTCAGCTCGCCCGCCAGGCTGCGGAGAAGGGCACGGCGGGTGAGCATTGCGGGGACCCGTTGCGGGGGAATGAACGAAAGCAGAGACCTGTTAAAGAAGTCGATAGTTATATACCTGAACTCATTAATATTATTCGAACCATGATACGTCAAATAAAGAGTAGAACAGAATGCCTGAGGGAGGCAGAGAAGAAAGGAACGTCAGCGTGAATCGGCTCAACCAAGGCAGAGCGGAGAGCGACGTTTGCCGCGTCCAACCGAGGATGAGCTCAGCTCCTCCGCGGTCCCCCTGCCTAGGTACTAAGGTAGGCAGATCGCTGTCCTACCTTCGCTCCTCTCTTCTCCCTCTCTAACCCATCCGCTCAGAGAACCTTACAAGAGAATCGTTTCACTCCATCATCATCGTCACCATGTCTTCTCCCAGTATCCTCCCCCGACTTCTTCTACGGTCGCGCACGACCCGCTGCGCGCGCGGATCATCCGTTTTGCGGAGCCCCGCATGGCGGCCGCTGTCAACCGCAACAACAGGAGCAATCAAACATCCCAAGGGATTCGTGCCGCCCACCGATGACGAGTTGCTCGAATTGCGCGAGAGAGTCCAGGAATTTACAAGTCAGTGGAATTGATTCTGTGTGAAGTTTCATTTGTAATTGACTCCTTTCATCAGGACGGGAGATCCCCGAGGAGGTCGCCGCGCGGACAGATCAGCAGAATGAATTCCCGGCCGAGATGTGGAGGAAGCTGGGTGAAGCAGGGTAGATGAGTCCAAATTAAGCTGTTGTGTTTAATAAGAGGCTGACTCGGGTCTTCTGTGATAGATTCCTCGGCGTCACTGCGGACGAGGAATACGGCGGTCTGGGGATGGGTTACCAGGCGCATTGCACTGTCTTGGAAGAGATCAGCAGGGCGTCAGGTACTGCGCTTTTACGTCGTTCGTTCCATTTGGTTATTCGTCTGACTTGTCTGGTTCTTTTCTAGGAAGTATCGGTCTCTCGTACGCCGCCCACTCGCAGCTCTGCGTCAACCAGCTCTCCCTGAACGCCACCCCGGAACAGAAAGCTCGATTCCTCCCGGGCCTGATCTCGGGCGAGAAGATCGGCGCCCTGGCTATGTCGGAGCATTCCGCCGGTTCGGATGTCGTCAGCATGAAGACGACCGCCAAAGCCGTCGATGGAGGGTTTCTGCTCAATGGCACGAAGATGTGGATCACAAATGTTGGCAGTGTTACACCATTTCTTTTTTTTGTTGAATCACACTAACAAAAAAATGCTACAGGGCCCTGACGCCGACTACATCGTCGTATACGCCAAGACTGAACCAGAGAAAGGATCGAAAGGCATCACGGCGTTTGTCGTCGAAAAGACCTTCAAGGGCTTCTCGTGCGCGCGGAAACTCGACAAACTCGGCATGCGCGGCTCCAACACGGGCGAATTGATCTTCGAGGATGTCTTTGTCCCCAAGGAGAATGTGCTGGGGGAGGTGAATCGCGGAGTCAAGGTTCTCATGGAAGGATTGGATCTGGAGCGACTTGTTCTCAGTGCTGGGCCGTTGGGGTATGCTTTCCCCGCCGTCAGAATCCACCCTGACAGATGAGAAATAACCAGGCAAAACCGCTAACGTTTCCCCCTTTTTCCCTGTCTAGTATCATGCAAGCCGCCCTCGACCTCGTCCTGCCCTACACCCACACCCGGAAGCAATTCGGCATGCCCATCGCCCACAACCAGTTCATCCAGGGCAAGCTGGCAGACATGTACACGAAGCTCTGCGCCGCGCGCGCCTATACCTACTCCACGGCACGGCAGATCGACCAGTCCAGCACGACGGGGCAAACCGTCATCCGGACGCAGGATTGCGCAGGCGCGATCCTCTACGCCGCCGAGCGCGCCACCGAATGCGCCCTCGACGCCATCCAGCTCATGGGCGGCAACGGATACATCAATGAGATCCCCGCCGGCAGACTCCTCCGGGACGCGAAGCTCTACGAGATCGGCGCCGGGACGAGCGAGATTAGGCGGATGGTGATTGGGCGTGCGTTCAATAGGGAATATGCATCATGATCCGCAAGAGAAAAAAAAAAGCAAAATGGTAGTATGGTAGGGCGAAGACAACTTGTAGTCTATTATTCGGATGTCTTATTTAGTTGTTTGTTTGTAGAGTTAGAAAAAAAAGGCCAGGCAGGTAGCAAAGGATGAAATACAATTCAATTCCTTCAGTCAGTATCAGTGTCTCGTCATGTCATGTCATAAGTGAGTAAAGTAGTACACGTAATCCATTCCCTTCCCATCTGCCATGGGAATCGAAGAAGAATTTCTCAATGTTTGTTCTTAGCAAGTATATATATATGGATAATTCATTTCAGCCAAGGCTTCAAAAATGCCACGACACAGGACCTAACATAGCTAATCTAGGTAGGTACCTAGGTATATTATACCGTAACTACCCAACTAGGCCGTTTTATCCTCGTCGATCTCCGTAGGTTTAACGGACCGGAAGACGATTCCCGTCTTCTCTTTCTCTTACCCGTGTTACTAACGGCTTTCTGTTCCCGTGATGATGATAATCGCCTGGATCGTCGACGAGTACTATCGTCTTCCTTGACGGCCGTCTGTTCCTGAGGCAATGGCAGTCTCTTCGATCGCCGTCGATTACCGTCTTCTAGCAACTGTCTGTTCCTGCGGCAATGAGAAGCGTGCTGATCGCCGTCGAGTGCCATCTCTAACGGGCGTCTGTTCCTGGGGTAATGAGAATCGCTTT